TTCACAATATTCTAATTTTCTGAGATTGTGGATTTGGGGTTTTCATAAGCTGTAAGCCATAATAATCACAATTATGACAAATCACGGCTTGAACTATCTTGCTTTGCATGTAATGAGTCTATCTCATATATTAGTTTCACCTTTTAAGTTGCATTACTGAAATAAATGAACTTTTTCACGATATTCAAATTTTTTGAGTTTCACCTGTATTTCTTCTTGATAAGTTCACCTTTTGCAACATGTTACACCCTATTTAGGGTGTAACATATGATACTATACAGCAGCTGACCTCTGCCCCCTCATCTTCCCCCATGACAGAGGGCAGGGGTTCCTCTCCTCACACCCCTGTCACATTTTAAAATAGCGCAAATGTGCAGGCCACCACGGCAGACAGCTCGTAGTTCTCAATGAATGTCCTCATAATTCATTGACTTATTCTGCACTTCAGTAACTGTCTGCCCATATAAGAGGTACGGGAAAGACAGCTGTACTGAGTGTCTGCAAAGCTTACCAGGCTGCAGTGTAAAAACATAATATATTCACATTTTTTTTTTACCTGCAATATCATGTGCATTTTTTATTTTTTTAAGATGAACTTAGCATTTAATTGACAGCCCTACTGCTATCACAGGACAGGGGGACTCGGGAGCGAGCCTTCACGATTACCCCCATAGAAAGTAGCTTGCTATAAGGGCACTCGGTAGGGGAGAGGAGACAAGAGGCCCGAGGGGGGGGGGGGAATAGACAGGTGACCCAAGAAGTGGAGGATTGGATTGTTCTGTGCAACACCATTGCACAGAGCAGGTAAGTATGACAAGTTTGTTATTTTATTTTAAAATATAAAGCTTTACAATCACGTTAAGCCATTCCTTTATGGCTTTACTAGAGTGCTTGGATCTTTATTGTGTTGAAAGGCTAATTTCCAGTTCTATTACGACTTCAACAGATGGCCTCACATTCTTATCAATCACACTTATGTGATGCAGATTCTATAGCTGACCAAGCCCCAAAGCAGCAAAGCAACCCCAAACCATAATATTTTCACCATGCTTCACAGTTGTTATGAGGTTCTTCTCTTCCAATACTGTCTTCAGTTTTACGGAAACATGTCTAATGTTACTGTGACCAAACAACTCTTTGACCAAACATTGTTCCAGAAAGAAGTTTTTTGTCTATGTTCAAGAGAAAAACTATAATCTTGCTGTACTACATTTTGGACAGCAAAGGCTTTTTCTTAGCATACCTCTCATGTAGGATACATTTGTGCAATTGCTTTCTGATTGTAGGTGCACTTTGACCCCAACTCAGTTACCTGAACACACTTTGTGAAATATTGGGATTCTTGGAGACAATCAGCTGTTGGATTGAATGTGCTAGGCCAGCCAGTACCTAGCAAATTCACGCTTGTTTGAAATCTATGCCTCTTTTAGTTTATTTTCACTTACAGTCGAATGATTGATTTAAAATTATTTGGCAATAATTTTTTATACCTTGCCAGACTCATGGGCATTGACAACATTCTTTCTGAGTGCCTTAGAGGGCTCTATTGAGCTTGACATGATGACATTACACATATCATTAGCAAAAAGAACACAGTTTGATGTGTAATTGTTCAAGTGTATTAACTTTATCTGTAAACACTATATGAATCAAGATCTAATGTTTGCCTGTTCAAAAAGAATACAAAAAACTCAATCCATCTCACTGCTCCTTCACGGGCTGTCCACCTCTACTTACCATTCTAAAACACTGATGAACAAAAAAGACAATGTCCATGATCTTCAGTCCTATGTTCTATTTAGCACTTACAGAAGCAAAACCATTTTTGAGGTGTTGGGCACTTGGTGTACTAGTATTGGTACTTATAAAATATTGGATACGGTATTTCTGAAAAGGAATATGAGCTACAAATAGACCTGGAATATATTTCCCAGCTGGCAATCTACTTGTGGTTACTGTTTCAGCTATAATTATGTTTAGAGATGTGGGAATAATCATTTTTTTAACTACCTCCCTGCTGACTCCTGGTATAAGTATACCCTACTTTTCAAGCTTTATCTGTAAGCTCAGTGTACTGTCACACATGTATTTTTTTTATTTTTACCAAGAGTACTAAAATCATCTGGAGAATAAATTGGCTTTTTGATACAGTCTCTGGAGTTATCTCAGTATAAAAGTGAATCCTGGGATTTGAAGAATTGAATTTCAGTCACAGAAGAAAAATCGCCTGACAGGTATTGATTTCAGTAATGGAAATGACACCCAGCATGGTCTAGACTGCAAGAAGCTACCTTTTCTATAGAATACAGAACCGTTTTATACCAAACTTTTGATTCCCACTGGGTGCTTTCTAGGTTGAACATTTTACCAGCATATATTATACATCACCAAAACACACAGCACTATTTATGCTAGATCACACAAGTGAGCAGTTTAATTCTTCTTTTCTGCTGGTTTTCACTGAGAATAGAAGAACCTCTGAAACACAGGGGTATCTCTGTCTTTCTACTGGGGGTAACAATATAAAGATATTATTTAAAGGAGTAGAAATTAGGGTTGCACCAATATCGATATCTGTGGCGATACTTAACATTTGCACGAGTATTGGTACTCATGCAAATGCTCCGATACTAAAAAACCGATACCTTCAGGTTCAGTTCTTTCAGCTGTCAGCAGGATTCCCCCCGCTGACAGCTGAAGTGTTAACAAAAGAATGCCAGCCGTTATCAGCTGTTAAGGAGCGGGGCCACCGCCAGATTCCCCTACTGACGGCTAAAAAAATTTACAAAATAAAAATTGCGGCAGTAGTTGTCTATCCATTTGACAGATCCTCGATCCTCTGTTAGCCCCTGTGCTATGTGAGGCAGAGAGCAATGTAAAGTCCTGTGTACAGAAGGTGATGAGAGCTCAGCCAGCACCTCTCTCTCCTCTTGCCGGCAAGTTGTCCTTTGGTAGGATACAGTTGGACAGCCAGCTCAGCTTTCTGCTTTGCCGGTAAGAGTACAGCGAGGAGCAGAGAGCGGGAGAGGTGCGGGCTGAGCTCTCTGCATCTACTGTACACAGGACTTTACAGTGCTCTCTGCCTCACATAGCACAGGAGCTACCCGAGGATCGAGGATCTCTCAGAGTATCTGGTGGGGAAAGCACAACCCATACCTCCTTCTGGCTCTCTCCCCACCCTGCTGCTGTCACTACTGTAGAGACAGAATTTGTAGGAGGGGGGGATTTAAGGGGTTTTTAGGGGGGTTTGTGCTGGGAGGGTGATTTGGGTGGGGTTGAGTGGGGGGTTGTGCTAGGAGGGGGGATTTGTGCTAAGAGAGGGGATTTAGGGGAGGGGGAGCTACAACCTACAGACAACTGAACTCTGCCTCACAGAGTACATTTTAGAGCGTGTTCACACCAAATGCATTGCGGTAACATGCAAAATCACGTGTTTTCCCATATTGCACACAAATGTGCTGCCTTTTACAGACACGCATGGGTGTCATTAATTCTTAATCCTCTACCACCCCAATGTAACACTCCAACTCCCTAACTCCCTCCCCACCTCCCAAACCACCTCTCTACCTACGACGAGTACTTGGTATTGATGCATCCCTAGTAGAAATCATACTTTTGATATATTTTGAATATTTTCTATATAGAATGTATACTACAGTATGCTTTTTAATGGTTTTGACATACCTGATAGTTTATTTGCAGTTTTGCATAATTTATATACAAGAGAGGATGAGGTATGTAAGATATATATTGTGATAGTTTTATTGTCAATACTAGCTATTGTCCAAAATGCATTATCTGGTATTATCACATGAAATTTGGGAACTGATATTAACGATGTACAGCAGGGGTCTGCAAACTATGGCCCTCCAGCTGTTGAAGTACTACAAGTCCCATCATGCCTCTGCCTCTGGGAGTCTTGCCTGTGCTTGTCAGAGTCTTTCAAGGCCTCATGGGACTTGCAGTTCCTCAACACCTGGAGGGCCATAGTTTGGAGACCCCTGATGTAGAGTGTCAGAGGTCATCTGAATCTTCTTGACCAGCCAACTCCCTGACCTCAAACAATGTTCCCTATGTTTCAAGTGTGTGACACCCCTGAACATCCAAAAAACGTTAAGTGAGGTTTAAGCCCTGACAGCTAAAGTGTCTGTCTCAAGGTATACAAAGTAAAATAAAGGGTAGAATATAAATCGCTGTAAGTGGTTCATAAATCACATGCAGGAATAAGCACTTGAGCTGTAATGATGATATAACAACATAAGCTGCATTCTGTAAAATTTAAAAATGTAACTTTTCAAGTATCAAAAGGTTAGCTGGTAGAGGGTATTGGCAAAATCTATAGACAAAAACAGAAAACCCCTTTACATTTCAAACAATATATCAAGCAGTGATCATAAAATACACTGTAGGCTGCCATTTCCTATTATATGAAGAATCCATTTACTAAACAGTTGAGGAATATACCTGTACTACCAGAGTGAAATAAAGAGTGTTTCACGAAATAAACCCTATTTCAACAGGGCTGCTTTATAGCAGGGAAATAAAAATTGTGTTCCAGCACTATTGTGTCCTATTTGTTCCAGTGAGAGACACATAGTGTACAAACAGATGTGAAGCCCCAAAGAGCCATTGTACCAGTGTGCTAGATCTAATATCGGATAGGTTACTTTATGTCATAAAAAATGTGTCAGATGCTCATAGAAAATAGGGTTGTGTACATAACTTTAATAAGGCCAAATCAATGCAAAGAACTTTTTCAGCTGCTGAGATGTACCATCTCCCTGAAAACATATTTTTGGTCTCAAATACAATGCCAGTATAGGGAGTATAAAGCTTGCCGTATATGGAGTATAAATCCTTCAGTATAAGGCTACTCCTAAATACGAAAACAAAAAATATTCATGTTTTTAAAAATGACATGTCATATAATGGCCATTTGTATCTATGAAGGATATTTTGCACAACAAGCAGCAGTGTAAAGATGGTTACATTCTTCCTACCGTTCGAATTGCTGTTGGTATTCCTGACTCATCAACTGGTCCAATCCCAGCATAGTGTGGAGCTTTAATGAGTGTGACTTTCTTCTCCTCCTCAGAGATCCTGCAGATTGGTATAGTGCTGCTGCTTCGGCTAACTTCTGACTGATACTGCTGGGAGTAGGAGTCTGCAGAATCTACAGAAACAGAAGAAACGTGACTTGAAAAGGTTTTTTGCTATGTTTTAAGAAGGGTGAAATGTAAATAGACACAAACTGCTACAGTGAAGGAAATAAGTATTTGATCCCCTGCTGATTTTGAATGTTTGCCCACTCACAAAGAAATGATCAGTCTAAAAATCGAATGGTAGGTGTATTGTAACACTGAGAGACAGAGACAGAATAGCAACAAAAAAATCAAAAGAAATTCATGTCTAACAAATTATGCACTGATTTGCATGTTCATGAGAGAAATAAGTATTTGATCCCCTATCATTCAGCAGGATTTATGGCTACCAGGTGTCTTTCATGCAGGTAACAAGCTGAGATTAAAAGCAGTCTCTTAAAGGGAGTGCTGCTAATTTCATTTTGTTACCTGTATAAAAGACACCTGTCCACAGGAGCAATCAAACAATCAGATTCCAAACTCTCCACCATGGCAAAGACCAAAGAGCTGTCCAAGGATGTCAGGGACAAGATTGTAGACTTACACAAGGCTGGACTGGGCTACCAAACTATCGCCAAGGAGCTTGGTGAGAAAGTTACAACAGTTGGTGCAATCATTCGCAAATGGAAGAAACACAAAACAACTGTCAGTCTCCCTAGGTCTGGTGCACCGTGCAAGATCTCACCTCGTGGAGTGCCAACGATCATGAGAACAGTGAGGAATCATCCCAGAACTACACATGAGGGTCTTGTCAATGATCTCCAGGCAGCTCAGACCACAGTCACCAAGAAAACAATTGGTAACACACTACACCGACAAGGATTGAAATCCTGCAGTGCCCGCAAGGTCCCTCTGCTCATGAAAGGATATGTCCAGGCCCGTCTGAAGTTTGCCACTGAACATCTGAATGATGCAGGGGAGGACTGGTTGAAATTATGGTCAGATGAGACCAAAATCGAGCTCTTTGGCATCAACTCAACTCGCCGTGTTTGGAGGACGAGGAATGCTGCCTATGACCCCAATAACGCCATCCCAAATGTCAAACATGGTGGTGGAAACATTCTGCTTTGGGGGTGTATTTCTGCTAAGGGGACAGGACAACTGCACCACATCAAAGGGACGATGGATGGGGCAATGTACCGTCAAATCTTGGGTGAGAACCTTCTTCCCTCAGCAAGGGCATTGAAAATGGGTCATGGATGGGTGTTCCAGCATGACAATGACCCAAAACACACGGCCAAGGCAACAAAGGAGTGGCTCGAGAAAAAGCACATTAAGGTCCTGGAGTGGCTTAGCCAGTCTCCAGACCTTAATCCGATTGAAAATCTGTGGAGGGAGCTGAAAGTTCGAGTTGCCAAACGTCAGCCACCAAACCTTAATGACTTGGAGAGGATCTGCTAAGAGGAGTGGTCCAAAATCCCTCCGGAGATGTGTGCAAACCTGGTGGCCAACTACAGGAAACGTCTGACTTCTGTGATTGCTAACAAGGCATTTGCCACCAAGTACTAAGTCATGTTTTGTGAAGGGGATCAAATACTTATTTCTCTCATGAACATGCAAATCAGTGCATAATTTGTTAGACATGCATTTCTTTTGAATTTTTTGTTGCTATTCTGTCTCTCAGTGTTACAATACACCTACCAATCGATTTTTAGACTGATCATTTCTTTGTGAGTGGGCAAACATTCAAAATCAACAGGGGATCAAATACTTATTCAAATACTTATTTCCTTCAATGTATATTTACTTTATGGTAATATTTATACTAGTTCATGCTGAAACATACAGTTGTGGTCTATCATCTTTAAAGTGAAACAAGAAAAACAGATCATTTTTAGTTTTGGATATCGTTTTAGGAAGGTGTGAAAAAATGGTGTAAACTTAGAAAGCTTTCAGAAATAGAAGTGTTAACAGTTTATATTTATCAATTAACAAAATGAGTAAAAAAAGGTAAAGGAACGGAAGTTAAATTCAAATCTAATCAATATTTGGTGTAACCACCGTTTGCCTTCAAAACAGCATCAATTCTTCTAGGTATACTTGCACACAGTTCTTGAAGGAACTCGACAGGTTGGTTGTTCCAAACATCTTAGAGAACTAACCACAGATCTTCTGTGGATGTAGGCGGTCTCAAACCTTCTGTCTTTTCATGGAATCCCAAACAGATCAATGATGTTAAGATCGGGGCTCTGTGGGGGCCATGTCATCGCTTCCAGGACTCCTTGTTCTTCTTTACGCCAAAGATTGTTCTTAGTGACATTGGCTGTATGTTTGGGGTCGTTGTTCTGCTGCAGAATAAATTTGGGGCCAATCACATGCCTCCCTGATGGTATGACATGATAAATAAGCATCTTCCTGTATTTCTCAGCATTGAGGACACCATCACACAATGAGGACTGTAGATGCAGTGTTCGGCCCAGGAACTTAATGGAGAACTGATGCTCTTCTAAAGGCAAAGGGTGGTCACACCAAATATTGATTTGATTTGCATTTCTCTTCTGTTAATTTACTTTTTTTTTTTACTCATTTTGTTAATTGATAAAGATAAATTGTTAACACTTCTATTTCTGAAAGCATTGTTAATTGACAGCATTTTTTCACACCTGCCTAAAACCTTTGAACAGTACTGTTGAAACTATGCCCAGCAGGAGAGGATTTTCACTTTCTGTCTTGTCCTTCTATGGAGATTCCCCTTACTTTCTATATTTTGGACACCAGTACAGGAAATGAAGGGAGTTCTTTGCCTAGACAGCAATTACACCTGTATACTATTTAAACACATTTAGTGCGTCCTTCACTTGACAGTGCCACATTCAAAATGCTAAAATCTTACATGCACCTGGGTTAGGGGCTCCTAGGATACCTTAAAGCACTGGATTTAAAGAGAAGACTGATAGATTGGTACATCCTGTGATCTAGTCTGCACTTATCTGGTTATTTTTGTTTTTCACTTGTGGTTACTGGTGCACTTAAAGAGTAGTCAGGAATGTATTTAGGGTTTCCATAACCCAATTGTGGAATAACTGCTTTCAAGCATAACACCTTTTTTGTAACGGATGCAGTAGTTGGGTGGAATTAGTGGTCTTGTGGTCTCAGAGAATAATAAAATGCTATCATGATAAACATGTAAGCAAAACATACAAAAGTCAATGGAACTGGATTTTCCCTAGTTTCCAAATACTGATTAAAATGGTGGTATATTTGCCTAGAGTTTTTTTGACTTACACATACACTATATTGCCAAAAGTATTAGGATGCCTGCCTTTACACGTACATTAACTTTAATGGCATCCCAGTCTTAGTCTGTAGGGTTCAATATTGAGTTGGCCAACCCTTTGCAGCTATAACAGCTTCAACTGTTCTGGGAAGGCTGTCCACAAGGTTTAGGAGTGTCTATGGGAATGTTTGACAATTCTTCCAGAAGCGCATTTGTGAGGTCAGGCACTGATATCAATAGAGAAGGCCTGGCTTGCAATCTCCGCTCTAATTCATCCCAAAGGTGTTCTTTCAGGTTGAAGTCAGCACTCTGTTTAGGCCAATCAAGTTCCTCCACCCCAAACTCAATTATCCATGTCTTTATGGATCTTGCTTTGTGCACTGGTGTGCAGTCATGTTGGAACAGGAAGGGGCCATCTCCAAATGGTTCCTACAGAGTTGGGAGCATTAAATTGTCCAAAATGTCTTGGTATGCTAATGCCTTAAGAGTTCTCTTCACTGGAAATAAGGGGCGAAACCCAACCCCACACCATAATTCCCTCTCCACCAAACTTTACACTTGGCACAATGCAGTAAGGCAAGTACTGTTCGCCTTGCAACCACCAAATCCAGACACGTCCATCTGATTGCCAGACAGAGAAGCATTATTCGTCACTCCAGAAAACACATCTCCACTGCTCTAGATTCCAGTGGCGGTGTGCTTTACACCACTGCAGCTGACACTTTGCATTTACTTAGTGATGTAAGGCTTGGATGCAGCTGCTTGGCCATGGAAACCCATTCCATGAAACTCTCTACACACTGTTGTGCTAATCTGAAGGCCACGTGAAGTTTTGCATGCTGAAGTGCACAGTGCGCAGAAGTGGCCAACTGTCTGCAGAATCAATAGCTAATATTGATTCTGCAGACAGTTGTCCACTTCTGCGCAATGTGCACTTCAGCATGCACTGACCACACTCTGTCGTTTTACAAAGCTTTACACTTTGTGGCCAAGTTGCTGTTGCTCCCAGTTGCTTCCACTTGGTTATAATACCACTAACAGTTGACTGTGGAATATTTAGTAACAAGGAAATTTCACAGATTAAATTATTGCACAGGTGGCAACCTATCATGGTACCACGCTTGAATTCACTGAGCTCCTGAGAGCGACCCATTCTTTCACAAATGTTTGTAGGAGCAGTCTGTATGCCTAGGTGCTTGATTTTATCACCTGTGGCCATGGAGGTGATTAGAACACCTGAATCCAATGATTTGAAGGAGTGTCCCAATACTTTTGGAAATATAGTCTATATTAATCACTTTCATCAGATGCTAACTGAATATAATAAATCAGCTGAACATGGTTTAAAAGCTTGTGATAGTTGGTGAAATAAGATATGATACCTATTTCTACACTACAGGACTTTTTACAGCAAAATATTCTTTCCAAATACTAGAACAGTGTTTTCCCTCCAAGAGACCCATGGCAAAATGTTTTGTCACTGCCAAACATTAAAAGAAGAGAATAGAGATTTCCCATCATTCATTACACTGAGCAGTCACACAACATCCTCCTACATTACAATGGAACATTTCATTTTTCAGCTCAGGAATATAAAAGGTTATACAAATTAGGGTGGGCCCCAGAGGCCATTGAAAAGCAGTGTCAAGAACAATAAGTGTCTCAAACCACAGGAGCAGTAGGCAATTGTCTGATTCTGGCAGAATATCAGAGGTCTCCTTTGTTTCCTAGACTCTTCTTCTGGTTACATTGAAATTAGCCACATTCCTCACACAGCCCAGAGGACACATTCACAATGTAGTAAGTGCACCTCTCTACACTCAACCACCTCATTTTTCAATTCATAACTGCAGCTGTTGCTCCTTATTACAGACAATGAAAGCTCAAAACTTGGACAGTAGACTATATATGATCTACATAGCTGCCAGGTGTAAACATGTTCTGGATGCCAACAGTATTCTCATTTACATATTTGTCAATCAGTTAGTACTGAGCTGAACAATGCCTAAAATGATTAAGTACTACTAAACTGTAGTTTTATACATTTGGTTTATTCTTCTGGCTAATGGTGTAGTTAAAAACCCAAAGTAAGCAGAAAAAAACAATATATTTACTTAAGGGAAGAAGAAACAAAAATGTCACATTGTAGAGTTTAATTCAAATATATCATATATTTAAATGCAAAACTTTAACTGCAAAGTGTCAGTAAACTCTCACCATTGCAAACTATCAATAAATGCAGTATTGCATGCTGTTCATACTCATTCACTGTGGGATTTGCTTTCTGTATTCTGCAAAAAACCTAGTTGATTCTGCTGTTCTCTATCTCCCCCTTCTGTCCATGTCCCCAATGCAGCTGGGGATTTTGCAGAGCAGTTTTGGCAGCTAGTGCAGTGTTTTTCAACCTTTTTTGTGCAAAGGCACACTTTTTTCATGAAAAAAATCACGAGGCACACCACCATTAGAAAATGTTAAAAAAATTTACCTCTGTGCCTATATTGACTATATATAAAGTAATTCTCTTGAATAGGAATCAAACACAAAGAAATTATTTTATAATTACTTTATTATGAAATAATAAAGTATTTTATAATTGGACCCGGGGGCCGGACCAAGAGTAGATGAATGATGTGTATGTGTCATCCATAGTAAGTATAGTAATATTCCCCCATAGTAAGCATAGTAATTAATCCCCCATATAGTAATTCATCCCCCATAGTAATTCATCCCCCATATAGTAATTCATCCCCCATAGTAATTCATCCCCCATAGTAATTAATCCCCCATATAGTAATTCATCCCCCATAGTAATTCATCCCCCATAGTAATTCATCCCCCATAGTAATTCATCCCCCATATAGTAATTCATCCCCCATAGTAATTCATCCCCCATATAGTAATTCATCCCCCATAGTAATTCATCCCCCATATAGTAATTCATCCCCCATAGTAATTCATCCCCCATAGTAATTCATCCCCCATATAGTAATTCATCCCCCATAGTAATTAATCCCCCATATAGTAATTCATCCCCCATAGTAATTCATCCCCCATATAGTAATTCATCCCCCATAGTAATTCATCCCCCATAGTAATTCATCCCCCATATAGTAATTCATCCCCCATAGTAATTCATCCCCCATAGTAATTCATCCCCCATATTAATTCATCCCCCATATTAAGTCCCCAAGCCCCCCCTGTGTCAATTCACTTACCTTTGCTCCGCGCGTTCCTCTCGCCGTTCCGGTGTGTAGCATGAAAATCTGTCTCCTATGAGGATCTGTCCCCCTCGACGTATCTGCGCATGTGCCAGTTTCAGGCATTAGCAGCCGATTGGCGATCTCCGGCACATGCGCAGATACGTCGAGGGGGACAGATCATCCTGACAGTATCACGCTCCGCGGGCCAGATTAAAAGGTCCGCCAGGCCGTATACGGCCCGCGGCCGTAGTTTGCCCATTGCTGTTCTAATGATTGGTCTATTTGTGAGCCGAGGCCACATGTTACGGATGAAATTGCAATTTTTCCCACGGCACACCAGACAATATCTCACGGCACACTAGTGTGCCGCGGCACAGTGGTTGAAAAACGCTGAGCTAGTGCATATGCTCAGTTTTCAGCAAGTTTCCCACATGTGGGCATATACACAGTGGTAAATGACAGCCCCTGTTATTATTAAGACACATGCTGGAGGGGCATGACAGAGCCTGTGACTGGCAAAAATCCACCCACACCATGTGGTTGCCAATAAATAATAAAGATTTGATTTCAAATTTATATTTGTATGATGATTGAAACAGTTTATTGATATTAATTATTTATTTTTACTCTGTATCCCAAAGGCTGTTTTTCTTAGCTTAGAAGTATTACGAGGATCATACAAAGAAGAAAAGTGCTTGTTTTACTCAACCACATTTACTTTGCACAGCTTAAAAATTAAGCCCAATGGGCAAATACAAATTAATAATGAAACATTTCAATTTAACCTACCCAATGTTCTGCCCTGCTGCATGGCAATGCTGTTGGAGTTTAGAGATGGCGGAGAGGGATATGTTGGAGAAAATGGCCTCTGAAAGTGACTGGATGGGCTGCCTGAGTTCCCATTAACTGTGACTGGAGTCTATGAAAAAAAAACACATTATAAAAGCAGTATACTTAATATTAAATCAGTTACAATATATGACAACACACAGCAGCACAGAAAGCATTAAACTTTACCAAGAAGACATCATCTAAGATCATTTCAGTACACAAATGCAGTCACCTTCACCCAACATAATCACTACATAGATTGCATTTGTGGGTTAGTGTGTTACAAAACAAAAACACACAAAAGACAGAATCACACAGTATATTATATTCTAGTACATGCAGTCCTTTTTTTCCTGCTTTGCTGTGCTACATAAAGGCTATACTTTACTTTTCTTCCTCATTATGCAAGTCCATGAGGTAGATAACCGACTGAAAAACACACACTCTATACATGCTTGATATAATTTCTCAACAGTTGTTGTATTAATCAACAGAAATATGGAAAAGCTAAAACATGAAAGCCACACCAAAAAGTACTGTGAATTAAAAAGAGTAATAACTAAAAGTTATTCTAAAGCTTAATTTTTGGGGGTATAATAAACATGTCATACTTTAACTGCTCTGTGCAATGGTTTTACACAGAGCAGGCCCAATCCTCCTCTTCTCTGGTGCTCCTGCCTTCTCCTCTTCGGCATTTGTGTGGGCTTGATCTTGAGCCATGTTGCCTGTGTCCATAGACACAGACAGCACAGCTTGGACCCACTTCCCCGCTCCTTCGTCACAGGATTTGATTGACAGCAGCAGGGGTCAATGGCTGCTGCTGCCTCTCAGTCTTGTGAGGAGAGAGGGTAGAGAGAGCCGCAACTCTCATGCACGGTGCTGGATCGAAATCAAGCTCAGGTAGGTATAATCGGGGGTTGGACTGGGGAGGGATCCTAATAACAAAATATTTTTTTTTACCTTAGTGCAGAGAATGCCTTAAGAACTTTAGCCTTTGGAACGACTTTAAAGTATATACTTAAAATATTCTGTAGTTTCCTTGAAAAATTAACTATATTTCGGCTTCAAGTAAATTTGCCACAATTGATACTGAAAATAGTTGTTCTAAAGTTTTTATGAATGGCAAAGATAGATTTATAGAAAGTGGCCATACAACCCTCCCATTAAGCCTATAACACTGGGAAACCATGTTAAAGAGTAGATTGTTTTAAGACTCTCCAGGGATCTCCAGATATTGTTAGAGATCAGTTTGATCCTTGTGTCAAACTACATATTCAGCTGTTATCTGAAATACATTTAACAGAACTGGAAACAATGTCTTTCTTGACAACTGATAATATCCCTACAGACTGCAAGCAATTAAGTAGAACGGCAGGCTAGGTCAGTGTACTGCAATTTCTTGCTGTTCTCACAGCTGTTACAGTGCTTATTGCTGTAGCGTACTGTTATGAGAATCACTTCTGAGCAGTATGTTTCAAGCTCAGCAGTTTATCAGTTCATAGGGAAGCTCGTCATCTCTTATTTAGTAGCTTGTTAGATGAATTTTAAACAAGAAAAAAAAAATGATAGTCTCTGAAGTATAGTGAGATGTATAATCTTATTAGATTTTTAAAAAATATTAACACATCCCAGATTACTTATTCTACTGAAACCTTCTAATGTGTAATAAGATCTTCCTGAACCCCTTCATTGGGAATTGTGGAACCCCAGCTAACTCCAGGAAGAAGGATGCTGTGCAAATGATGCTGTAAATATAGGTAAGTTGCATTGGCAGATCCACATTTTACAAAACGGACATTAAATTAAGATGTACCATTGTTTTAGATTTGGAAAACACACACAGCACAACACAATGATACAGAGCGTGGGTAGCTTGTCATAGCTTTAAAAAGGGTGTATAACATACATAGGTGTATGGATTTCACACAACCTGACCAATGTAACCATACTATTGCTAATGGTCATCAGCTTTAGGACAAGTGTCTGGAAGCCCTTGAATCATTCACATCTGTATCAAGAGGGGCTACAGACTATATCTAAAAATATTTTAAATACCATAGAGGTTTATTAAGCATCCACCCTGGACAAAAGCATCTACCTACGCTCAGAACCTTGTGCAATTTTGTACTAATTTTCTCTTTTTCTTCTTTTTTTTCATTTTCCCTTTGGCCCCATTCACACTTGAGCATTTGCAATTTCGAGCAGAATCGCTGCAATTCTGCCTGCGATGCCAAAATGCTCTGTACAAATGGCAAATTGCTACACACCCATTCGAGTGCCATTCAATGGCACCAAAACAAGGTGTGGTTCTGCTGCGATTGCTGCGCAATAAAACATGCTGCAATTGCAGTAAATCGCATTGCACGAACCTTGTCACGCAAAAGAAGCTCCTTCTCCTTTTTGAGCACAAGCTTTCGCACTGCAGTTTGCCGTGCGAAACAAGCATGACAATCATGGCAGAACCACACCGCATTTTAGTGCCATTGAGAATGAATGGCACCCGAACAGGCATGGTGCGATTTGTCATTTGTGAAGAGCGTTTTGGGATCGAGGGCAGATCGCAAACACTCGTGAATGGGCCTGTTTTTTGTTTATCTGACCTCTTACAGGTCTTTTATCCAAACAATGTCTGACTATCCATGGATTTTATATTGCTACTTTATAACACAGGATGATTTTGACTTTCATGTACCTACCTCTTTATATGTACTGTATGCTGGTATGCCTATATGTTACTCTGTGCTTGTTATACACCATATATTGTAACCCTTGGGATTTGTTTGAATATTTTACTATTTTTATGTACAACTTTGTACTTGTATTCTTATCTCTCACTATTGAAAATAAAAATATTTGGAACGTTAAAAAAAAACAAAACGAAAATGTACATAAAATTAGCAAATGTGTATCATACTTTATTAGTAACTATAAGCACAAGGTTCTAAGCATTTGTGCAACTAAAAGTAAAATGTAATGCAATGTAGACTGGTACATTTTGGTACAATGCAGAGGAGGAAGCTAAGGGTGCTTTGCAGGGCAGGCAACAGGAGCTCAATGTATTCCAGATATGGGAACATAGATGGAGAATGAAGAAAGTATTTTGTGCAGACTGTACTTTACTTGTTAATCAAACTGCTTTCTTCACATTCAGGGCTACGGCTGCACTGTACATTCTACAACCAAAAAGCAAACACAAATGTTGCACTCTGATACTGCCTCTCTTGCAGTGCTGCCTAGGCACTGGTCCAGAAGTGCCTTGGTGATGGTCAATATAATCCTCCTCATTCATCTGACGCTAGCTTTTTAACAGCCTGACAATCTGATGTCATGCTGTATCAATCACCTAACAATTTCAGGTAGTTCGTGTTCAGACCAAACTGGCTGATTGGCTGGATTCAAGAGCAATCATGATGAGCAATGACAAGCATCTTAATGAATGGAAATGAATAATATTTAAAAACTCTAAGACACGTTGTCATAGCATTCTAACAACAGAGCAGCAAATTGCCATTATTGATGTATTTTGGGGGATATACACTGGTATAACACACATAAACAGCACATGGTACTAAAAGATATTTGCTTACCCTGAGCAACAAAATATGTATGACAATATTTGCATTCCAGTTGTGAAGCAAAATTAAACAGTATTTGGTAGCATGTAAGAAAACATTAAATATAGTTTACAAGTATATCCAAGATACTTGAGAAGTATGTCTTGCATTGACTACTGAAGGCCCTTGAAAAATATGGAATTATAATGTATGTTGTAGTGGAAATAAGAAATGACGTTATATTGTTTTTCTTCTTAGTTAGAATGCTCTGATATTTACAAGCATCTCCATTTGGGATAATAAGCACAAATGAGAGACAAAAGTTGGTGTAAATCCGTTTCCCTTCTCACATCGTCTATATTGACTAAAATATTCTGATGTGTCAGCTATCCTAAGGCAATCGTACTATGATAGGTGAGTCCCCCATCTGTTATTCTTCATAAGATAGAAAGCTGACCATCTGTGGCCAGATTGTAAAGTAAATAGAAATCTGCTGTCCGGCATTTCAAATACAAAGCAAGTGCAGAAAGACAGTCCTGAACTCCCCAATGTTCCTCTGTCTTCTTGTCTCTGAGACAAAAAATTAGGGAAAATTTGCTCATCAGAGATGCAGAAAGCAATAACAACTAGACACATTTTCAAGGCACATTAGGTACAGTATATGCCGTCAGGGAACCTGCCAAAGGGTTATTCATCATATGTTCAGTGGTTTTGAGGGATTTACAATTATACCCCACTCAGATACTTGACACATTCAGTTGGTAGGGTGCTGACAAATTGTTGTATACATTCCCAGAAAACATTGTTGGTTAATTCTGAAAGAACTTACTCAACATGCCCAACACAGTGAAATCCCTTCTCTTCCCTACCCCATCTAAAAAAGTAAAAAAGATTATTTAATCTGGATTTGGGCTTTGGGTTTAGCTGAAAATCTTTGCACATCAATGCATGTGACTAGATCTGTCCAACTAGCTTATGAATTGTGCCCCCCCTTTTTTTTTTAATAAGAATGGATCTGAAACACTCTTTAGGTTGTTCATTCATTCCATAAAAAATTAGAACAAACACACACTTTACAATATTAACAGAAAACTGATAAAAATCTAATGAACCTGTGATGAGTTCACACTCATGTTGCCATTAGAGAAAATTGCCTGGTTATAGGCTAAATGGATTAATAGAAGAATACAAAGCTTGGGGAATTGTAGAGGCCCCTGTGAATGATGATGTGATGATTGCTACTTAATTGAGAATGTTACCGAGGTCCCCAGATCAAATGTTCTGAGCTCACAGCTGCATTCTAAAATGTGTACAGTATAACCTGCCAAACAGAAGTGACTCTGTAATCACTAGCAATAATTCAAGATATTTTCTGGTTATATGAAAGGAAACCTTCTCAGATAGAAACTTAAAGGTTGCCACTAATGACTTCTCATTTCACAAATGCTAGCTCTGCCTGGCTGTCGGACTGGCCCTCTGACTTCAAGAGTCATTGACTCTCAACAAATAAGTAGATATGTTCTGACTTTCCTGA